ATGGACTGAAGTCCGCCAGGCTCCTTTGTCCATGGGGATTCTCCAGGCAAGAATACTGGAGCTGGTTGTCATGCCATCCTCAGGAAATATTCTCTTGGTATCTCTAATTTCCCTGAAGAGATCTCTAGTCTTTCCCATTCTATTGTTTCCTTCTATGTCTTTGTTTGCATTGTTCACTTAAGAATGCTTTATTATCTCTCCTTGCTATTCTTTGGAACTCTGCATTCAGATGAGTATGTCTTTCCTTTCCTCCTTTGATTTTCCATTCTCTTCTTTTCTCAGCTATTTGTAAGGCCTCCTCAGACAACCATTTTGTGTTGTGGTATTTCTTTTTCTTGGGGATGAGTTTGGTCACTGCCTCCTGTACGGTGTTATGGATTTCCATCTGTGTTTCTTCAGGCACTCTGTCAATCAGATCTAATCCCTTGAATCTATTTGTCACTTCCACTGGAACTTATGTGATCTTATACATAAACTATTTGTTAATACAAGGAAATCAAAACGCCCATTGTCTTCCATAGTCTCATCAAGTAAAGAACCTAAAACAAGGAGTGAGCTTGCAGCACTTTGTGAAAGTTGCCCCAGGGGACTGCCTGCCCTATGCTAAACTGTCACTCATACTATCCCGTTCATTTGGACAGTCTCTCAGGGCTTCCCTGGCGGCTCAGCTGGTAAAGAATCCACCTGCAGTGCAGGAGACCTGGGTTGGATCCCTGGGTTCAGAAGATCCCCTGGAGAAGGGAAAGGCTACTCACTCCAGTATTCTGGCCTGGAGGATTCCGTGGACTGTATAGTCCATAGGGTTGCAAAGAGGCGGACACGACTGAGTGACTTTCACTTCACTTCAGGAGGTAGGGTTCCTTCCTGCCGTTTCACAGATGAACAAACTAGAGAAGCCAAATGTCCTGCCCTGTGTTACTTAACCAGCAAGTGGCTGAGCCGGCCTCACAGCTTTTTTGTCTCTGTTCCCCCGCCGGATAGTGTTGCTTTTCTTCACAGTTGGGCATTCTACCATATTTTTCAGCAGATCTGGAGAGGGCCCCCCAGAACCTTAGAGAACCCATTACCTTGTCTGTCAGGCACAGGGGAGCCAGGCCTGCACCCGCTAGTCATTCTTGTCGCAGCTCTAAGTGTTGGTGCAGGGTGTGCATGCTCAGTCATGTCGAGCTCTTTGCGACGCTGTGGAATGTAGCCTGCTAAGCTCCCGTCCAAGGATTCTCCAGGGCAAGGATACTGGAGTGGGTTGGCCTTTCCTTCTTCAAGGGATGTTCCTGGTGGGATCAAAGCCATGTCTCTCGGGCCTCCCGTGCTGGCAGGCGGATTCTTTATCACTGAGCCACTGGGAACGTCACGTGTTGATGGCTTTCTTTCAGTTTCAGATACCGTCTTCCTGTGGGCCTCCCGTCACCCTCACCACCCTTGCATGGAGCTGCTTGGATTCCTAGGGGCAAGAGGACTCCTGCGAGGGCGCGATGCAGGAAAAAGCAATCACCACCAGAGGGCACTGCAACCCTTACGCGGTTCGTACCTCCAGGACAGACGGCCCCTCCACTTCCCCCGAGGAGAAAGGTGGTTGCTCTGAGATTTAGATTCTCCTTTGGCTCAGGCGTTACCTTGTGCGGATAAATCTCAGTGGCTGCGGTGTGTTATGTTACAGAATCCATGTGTGCTCAGCTGGCATATTGCAGTTGAAAGAAAACGACTCCCTTTAAGGCACTCCCTTTTCTAACTAAGTGATGGTTCAGGATCACATTGGTTGCTTTTTCCCAAAGCACAAATGTATTCAGTTGTAGAACCCACCATTCAATTGATTCTGAGACTAAAATATAGTAAGTGGTGTTGGGGAGAGGAGAGTAGATTGCTTGGGATCTCAGCCAAAATCCTAGGCTCCCCCCAACCCTTGTTGATTTCAGCAGAAGGCAGTGTTTAGATGTCAGTCAACTACTAAATCATCTAGCGCAGGATGGGGAATGCCAAAGATTTCTTTATGTAATGGGAATACTGTTACGTCTGTATCAAGTTGCCCAAATGTGACTTATTTATTTAAGTTATTTTATTTTTTAATAAACCAGTGCCTTTTATTTATTTATTTGTATTTGGCTGTGTCGGGCCATTTTAGCATGTGAGATTTTCACTGGGTCACATGGGTCATTCCTCTGGCTCACATACTCTGTCTGGTTCTGGCGAATGGGCCGAGTAGTTCAGCATGTAAGCCTAGTTGCTCCGCAGCATGTGGGACCTTACTTCCCTCACCGGAAATCAAACCCACATCCCCTGCACTGCAAGGCAGGTTCTTAACCCCCTGGACCATCAGGGACATCCTTATTTGTTTATTTTACACTGGAGTATTGCTGATTAACAATGTTGTGTTAGTTTCCAGCATTCAGCAAAGTGATTCAGTTATGCAGGTATCTATTCCAAATGTGACTGATTTTAAGTTCTTCTGACCAAGTAGAGATGCTGATATTTAAAACTATAAAGTGATTCAAACATTATGAAGGGAAACCATGAGATGAGTAACAGGCCAGTCCATTTATAATTTAGTCCATTGGTTTTCACACTCTATGCATGAGCAGCGTCTTTGAGTAAGGAAATCATGTGGTAGAGACAGGACACAAGAAGACTGGACTTTCTGTGGGGCGTCATTATCCATCCAAGAGAGAGATCATCCGAGAGCGCTCTGCAGATCCTTCTTGTGACTCTTGTTGTTCTTTGGTCTGTAGACGAGGGATTGCCCTGGACAGGGAATCTTCACCGCGTACACTCTGTCTGGGCTCTGACACACCCTTTCCTATGCTAACCCTTGGGCTGGCTCTCAGCAGATTGTATAGTAAATGTTCCCTTCCATAGCTCCCCCAGGTTTCAGCCAAGCTACTGGACCTCCACATGGAATGACCCCTCCTGCAGAGATTTGTGTTTTAATAAGGGATCAAGGATTTTAAAAAAACTTACAAAATTAGTCCATTCTAATAAAAACATGAAAATCACTTTCCTTATCACTCCCTCCTCATTAATTACATTCTCTGAATTACATTCTCTGAATGTAATCACAGTTCTTAGTTTAGTGTGTATCTTTTCAGAACTTTTTCTGTGCACATAGAAACATACAGACATCTATTATATGTTGGTAGACATCTTAATTTTTAAACAAAATTGTGTATGTACTCTCCATAGTGGTTTCCCCCCAATAATTTAGCATGGATACCCTCCCAAGTGAGGACAGACAGGTACTTCATTCATTTTAGGTGCTGTGCAGAGTTTCATAGTGTGATGATGTCATAATTTACTGACCAGTTTTTATTGGTGGATTTTTAGGAGGTCTTCAACTTTTGCTGTTACAAACCAGACTGTAGTGAACACCTTCTCACAAGTATCCTTGACTGCATCGAGTTGCTGTGCATTTTAATTGTTAGTAAGCATTACCACACAGCCCCAGTTTATTTTCAAGGGAGGGATTTTGAAGAGGAAAAGTTTTAATGTAGAGAAAGATGACTATGGAACAGTGAAGTTGGGGTTTCAGAGCTCTTGGTGGGAGAAGAGTGGTCTGGCTCACAAGAGAAGCAAACAGCAACTTCTTAGCCTGTACGGTCCTGGAGTTAGGGCATCTGGTCAACCATGGTGATGGACACCACATGGTGGTGTGCTCCCTTTTTAATGCTAAAATTTACATATTCAGAGACTCATTATCCTCCTCCTTGGTTGAAAAAGGGTTGATAGTAATGAAAACAGCTACAAAGATGGCCCCTTCCCATGTTTATAGAGTTCAAATTCTAGACAAGAGTGACAGCAGTGTGGGGAGGCTTGTTCACTTCACTGTTGTTAAAGAACAACAGTTCTGTTGTTAAATTTATCTAGAGAGAATACGGTTCTGTCTTTCTCTCTTGATGCAGCCTCTCTCTATTGCACACGTGCACGCACACACACACACACACACACACACACACACACTCTTGCTCTATTATTTCAAGTCAACCACGACACTTTCCAAGCCACATTTGGCTCTTGTGAATTTTTGCAGAACTTGCATTCTACTTCTGTGAAAAGCAATTTATGCTTTTCTTCTTTCAATAAACAATCAGCCTCAAACATTGCCTCATACCTAATAAAAGATGGTACGTCTGATGGCATCAAGCCAAGGGGAAAAGCTGAATGGAGAGCAGTCAGTTTAAATCATATCTGATAGAGAGTAATTAATTAATGTGTCAGTAAAGCCATTTAGAGTGCAGTTACAAAGGGCCACATAGTACTAAGTGTGAATGTACAGAGACGGTGAGGACGGTCTGTGTCTTCAGAGCCGACACACACACTGTTAGGAGAAAGGACTGTTGCTCTTGGAAGGGTAGCTGAGTGTAGGCCTGTAAATGTTCACATATGCTTCTGTAGATGGTGAGAGACCTCTCACTAGTCAAGGAGACTGAACTGCAGGGGAGGGAAGGCGTTGGTCCTCTGTCTAGAATCAAGCCTGCTGGTTTACGCTCACTCCTTCAGGCCATGCTGGGGTCCTGTAGGGATGCCGGCTGAGAACACAGCAGGCCCTCTTGGGGCACAACCTGAGAAGCCTCCCTGACCCTCAGGTCCACAGGTCGAGGGGTGTTTCAGGTGCCTGCCAGCCCAAGGAGAGGGGGCGCCAGCCAGAGACCCCACTCCCCGTGTCATGCTGAGGTTCCCTTCTCTGTTGCCTCCCCTTTTGGCCCCCTTTCCTGGGTCCTAAGCCAGAGCTGAGCTTCTCTTGTGGCCTGAAGCATTTGCCTTACATCAGAGGGCACATCTGCCTTTGCCCAGCAGCCCTCTTCTCTTGGAGACGAGAACGCAGTGTCACGGTCCTGAGGGCCTGCTCTGTTGGGTGATACCGCACATTCCTCTAGCTGTGTGGTGCCCATCGGGGGCCCCCTTCCAGTGCGCACCGGTCCATGCACTCCTGCTCAAGGGCTGCCGCTGGGTGCAGTTTACCTTGGCTCCTACCAAAAGTGCTCCCAGTGCAGGGCCAGCTAGAACATGGGCTAGGCCCCCACTGCCCGCCCCGTGGGGTCAGGGCAGCTCTCTGCCTTACAGCTCACAATGCGTGATAGCCACCCAGCGAGGCCAAGGTCAAGGGCACACGCAGTGCGTAATTGCTGGGTGGCCAGAGACTTGCAGGAGGCCTGGCTAACCAGGACGCCGAACTGCCTCCCGGCGAGCAGAGCTGGCTCCCGGCTGGCTTTCCTCCGGGTGGCGCCCATCCACGTGGGACAAACACCAGGCCACCTGCATCCAGACTTCCCCAGGGCAGCTTGCTGAACAGGCAGGCTCCTGGGTGCCACCTACAGGGCTTCTGGTTTAGTGGATCTGGTCTGGGGCAGGAGTCTGGGTGTTTAACAACATTCTTATTATAGATGGGCTGAAGTAGGGTTGTCCTAGGATAACGACTGGCCAAAGGGCTGCTTATAACCTCTGGACATATTTTTTTGCCTCCTAAACTGTCCCAATCTATCAATCAATGTTAGTTACTCAGTCATGTCTGACTCTCTGCAACCCCATGGACTGTAGCCCACCAGGCTCCTCTGTCCATGAAATTCTCCAGGCAAGAATACTGGAGTGGGTAGTGATTACCTTCTCCAGGGGGGATCTTCCCAACCCAAGGATCAAACCTGGGTGTCCTGCATTGCAGGCAGATTCTCTACCCTCAGAGCCACCAGGGAAGCCCAGAACCTGTCCAAGCGAATAGAATAAAATTCGAATTAGTTCCCTTTAAGGTACTAGAATTATTTTCCCTGGAGAGAGTGGAGGAATGGAAACTGGCTTGGCAGAGGAATGTCAGAGAGAAGCAGCCCAAGTGCCCGGCAGGGCTGGGAGACCCCAGGCTCCGAGGGTGGCTGGGTGGGTAGTAGACTTTCTATGGGTAGAAAGTCTGTACCAAGCAGCTGGGCTCCTGTGCATCTAGGAAATTTGTTCTCTAAAGAAACTTCTTGAGAAGAGGAGCATCTGGGCTGCAGACAGCGGGGTGAAGTGCAGGGTTAGGCACGGAGGGTTTCGTGGAAGTCTGCACCCTGAGCCTGGACGCCCAGCTCCTACCCCCACCCTGTCTGGAATGTTGCAGCCAGATTGCATCCCCAGGTAGGACTGGAGGAGTCAACTCCAGGGACGCGGGCAGGGCTCTGGAGAAATGAGCCTGGGTCCCCTGGGGTGAAGCTCACCAGTCTACAAGCACAACCCACAGGCACAGTCTTTTTAGGTCTCCCTTCTGGGTATGAATGAAGCTCCCAGGAAGGCCAGAACTTTGAGGGGGAAATCCTGCACTTGAAAGTGAGAGAAAAAAGCAAACAAAGGGCAGGGGAAAGATCCCGAGGAAATGCCACTGAGGGAATCAGGAAACAGTTTCAGAGTTTACTTATTATTCCCGGAGAGGTAAGGGGACATGCTGCATCCAGAAACCAAGAGCAGGATGCCGAGGGACAGCGACCATCAGGGAGATGGAAACTGACATACGGGGGCCATCAGCAAACTCAACGGGACGGGGCAACAAAAGTCCAGGAAATATCTCAGGAAATAGAATAATAATTGAAACGAGAAAAGAGAAAAGGAACTAGGAAAGGCTGGGAGCAGGAGAGAATGTGTCTAGGAATCCAATGTCTGACTGATGAGAATTCCAAGGCAAAGGATGAGAGAAAAAGGAGGCAGGAAATTACCAAAGATGTATTTCAAGTAGCAGGATGGAAGGATACAAACCACTGTAAGGAGAAGCCAGGCTGGAATGAAGAATGATGATAGCATCAGCAGTCAAAAAGCCTAGTATTTATCCCAGTGTTCATTGGCTGCTCGCTTCAGGCCCATCACTGTTCCAGGGTTTTGATGTATTAACTCATTACTCTGCACAAGCACTCTACCTGAAGGAGCACTCACCCTGGTTTTACAGAGGCACAGTGAGGTCATGTCACATGCCAAAGGTCACCCACTCACGGGGACACTGCCAGGCTTGAGGCCCAGGAGGTGTCTGAAAGATCCATCAGGAGGAGCTCTTGGGTGCCAAGCTGAGGTTGACATCAGCAGGACCCTTAAACTGGGATCCCATTTAATACCCAGAACAAGAACAGCTCCTTGCTAAATCACACTGTCTCTAGAAAGTCCCAAGCAGTTGATTATATAAGTAAGATTAACACTGGTATAGTGAAATCCCACTTGGTGAGGTTCATCTTGTAGGCAAATGCATTCAAGCTCTGTGCCTTTAATGGGGGTTGTTTCCATTGAGCAGATGGCGCGTGGCTCTTCCCTCCTGCTTGCAGGAGCGTCTCCTTTAGCACACCCACCAGGATCGCAAGGGCAAAACCATCTAGTGAGAGTATTGTCAGTAGGAATTATGAGAAGTGTATGTCATGCCCCCAGGAGTTTACACTCTGATTTTAGTGAAGTGCTACACAGATCTTTGATCTCTTGGCATGTTGTTTAAAGGATGATTGTCATCCTCATAAGAGGAACAAGAACTCATGGAGCCCCAGATCAAGGTGGTCCTGGCTTTCAAAAAGAGCAGTAGGGATTCCATCTTGAGAGAGAAAGTTTGTGTGCACAAAACAGCAGCTGTAGCAGAAGCCAATTCAGTGTCTGTGCATCTTGAGATACAGCAGGTTAAGAGCCAAGATGTTAATTTCTCCTGCTTTTAGATCCTTTGTCAAGAACACCTGGGCTTCCCATGTGGCTCAGTGGTAAAGAATATGCCTGCCAACACAGGAGATGCAAGAGATTCAGGTTTGATCTCTGGCCCGGGAAGAGTCCCTGGAGTAGGAAATAGCAACTTGCTCCATATTCTTGCCTGGGAAATTCCATGGACAGAGGAGCATGGTGAATTGCAGTCCATGGGGTCACAGAGTTGGACACCACTGAGTGACCCAGCACACACATACACAAGAACGCCAGGGAATTCTAAACAAGGAGCAACTTGATAAGCTTTTCAGAACTACACACCTTTCCTGAATTGCAACCAACCATCCCACATGGACATTCATTTCTTTTTAGGAAGTGTCAAGAGCAGGAGCCCCTCTGGGAAACAAATCTAAAGGCTCACGATTGAATCATGAGTGAGGCAGTGTGACAAGGCAGATATTTGAGTACAAGCCCCTCTGGGTCCCTAACAAGAATGTATTCCAATAATATTATGCTCAAGAAACACTAATAAAGGTAAATCACAGTCAAAGCTTTGTTGAATGCAATATATTTCAAGTGACGTTTACTGAAATTATCAGTTGTGTCACTGGTTTAGTATTTGAGTTCGTGGCTGATCTCTGTCCACTTGGGAAATGTTCCAGCTCCTACACAAGAAGTTTCCCCATTTTTGAGTCATGAACCCACAGGGTTGAAGATGTTCCCAAAATTCAGCTTCACCTGGACTGTGTTTTGAAGCTGCTGTATATCACCCTTTCTTAGACTTTCTTGAACAGCTCAAGTCTCCTTAAGTCACCACGAATGATTTACTAAAATTAGTTCACTTCTGTTCTGAAGTGCTGGCAGGGAGTTTATGTGAGGATGAAATAACTGTGTGTGACATTGATCTTCTATGTCAGGTCCCATGTAATGAAGTATGAGCCAGGCAAGATGATAGTCACATGTAAGACCTGGAAGAGGCTGATACTGTTGAGTCCCCTTTCTGCTGGGTTTGTTTTCTTCGTAAATCTGTCACAAGTGTGGAGTGTTTCTTTGATCATGTCAAAGGCTGCAGGGTGAGTGAAGAGCACCCTCAGTGGAAAATGCCACCTTATTATTCAGTATTTTTAAAGTGTTTTCCATGGGCTGCTCACTTCAGCATCACATGCAGAACCTGTTAAATATTTAAATTCAGACGCTCGCCCCCTGCCCCCAAACCTCATGAGGAGGCTTTCCAGCAGAGCAGCCTGGGAAGATGCATGGGAACGAACACCCCAGATGATTCTCAAGCAGTGAAAACTTGGGAATTTGTGGATATTTCCAAAGGCCTCACATCCTGGGATTCTGCATGTTGTGCGGATGATGGAAGAAGAAATAAACAGTTCTGAGGTGTTCAGCTTCAGTCTGGGGCAGATCCTCAGGGACAGCGTGTTACCAAATGCTAAGTGATTTGAACCCTCAAGACATTTAAATGGCGAAACACACGTACTTGCTTCTAGTGATGCCTCATGTTTCAGCATCGCCTCGAGTGACATCCAAATGAGTTATTTATTCTACTTCAGAGCCGATTTTGGTTTTCTCATTAAGGAAAGTGCTGGCAGAAAGGGTTGAATTTTAATCCTGACCTTCATTTAGTGTGAAGGCCACAGACAAGAGGGTCACTTTTAAAGATGAATGTTTTGCTAGAGTGTAGATAGTTTCAATACCTTAAAACACAAACACGCTGCAATCTTTTCAGAAGAAAAACTCAAGTGTAAACTGAGATCTCAGTGGGAAGGTGGATAAAATCTGAAGCTAACTACGATGATGGAATAGAGATGTCGGGATGATGGGAACAACTCAAGGGCATTTGCCCTTCCTCCCGTGGCTCCCTCCCCACCAGCTTCTGATTCTTCTCACAACCACTGGGATGCTGGAGGAGAGAGATTTTGAAGGGAGGAGAGCCGAAGAGTGAAGGAGGGTAAGTGCGGGAGAAATTAATCAGGGAGGAAACGAGGCTGATGTTTGTGTGTGGCTCAATGCTCATTCTTCTGAAAAATTGAATGGGATGTAAGTTGCCAAAAGGACCAAAGCCTCAGAGTTCTTTGCCATCTCCCCAACACCCCCAGCCCTGACAACATGATATGGCCCAAAGTGTCTTCATTCTGTTTCTGCCTGCTTTATCAACTTTGGGCTACTCTGCTTGAAAGAAGGCTGAGTGCCAAAGAGTTGATGCTTTTGAATTGTGGTGCTGGAGAAGACTCTTGAGAGTCCCTTGGACTGCAGAAAGATCAAACCAGTCCATCCTAAAGGAAATCAATCCTGAATATTCATCAGAAGGACTGATGCTGAAGCTGAAGTTCTAGTACTTTGGCCACCTGATGCAAAGAGTTAACTCATTGGAAAAGAACCTGAGGCTTGGAAAAATGAAAGGCAAAAGGAGAAGAGAGCAGCAGAGGATGAGATGGTTGGGTGGCATCATCGACTCAGTGGATATGAATTTGAGCAAATTCTGGGAGATGGTGAAGGACAGAGGAGCCTGGCATGCTGCAGTCCATGGGATCGCAAGAAGTCAGACATGCCTTAGTAACTGAACAGCAACAACTCTGCTTTCAAACAAAATCAAATA